ATATTGATATATATATACTTATATATACGTAAAGATGCATTTAATTATATATATATATAAAGTTTGGCAAAATACAGAGCTCACTAGCATTTTGAACAAGCGGACTCATTGTCGGTTCAATCGGACTAACGCGGAACTTTCAGCAGGTTGTTCAGTTGTAAGTTTGAGTTTAATTATTATTTTTATCGATTTGAGCAACAGATGAAAACAACTGTTTGAAGATGAGTTTACATCGACAAAGTTCATATGCTAGCACAATGAAAATTGAGATGCTATTCAAAGCGAAAGAGAATGGAAGCTTACACGCGATATCTGAGGCGGAAGCTACATCTGGAGACAGAACTTCGGTGAGTGATTCTAAAGGCTGTGTGTCTACTGAGAGTGTAAATTGAGTACTTACATCGACTCTATATGTCTGGAGCGATAATGCAATCGAACTATATCATTCGTACCACGTGTTGGGATGTGCACTTGTCTATGCACAACATATTGTTAGATTGCTATGAGAGTTTTACTCGAATTCATTCACTCACGTTAATCTCGAGAACAGGTTGAACACGCATTGCATGTAGTACCAGAGTACTATAACCTATTAGCTTCGGGTAAGAAGTCAGTTGAGGGCCGGTTGAACATGGGTGACGAGGCGCATGTGTGTGTAGGGGATATTTTAGTCATGAATGGAACTTTACGGTTACATGTCAAAAGGTATGTATATTAAATTCGTCATGATTGTCCATGTTGTGTTGTATTTTCTATCACGTTGTTAATGCTGATATAGAATTAATCGCTTTATTTGTTCATGACGGGTGTGGCGAGGTGGCGAATTTTTTTACGTGTCGATGTGTGTATTATTTTCTAATATAGGGTTGTCCTTGCCTTGGATCGAGGATTTAAAAGACCTACAAGCTCTCACCTGTACATGTATGAGTAGAAGCATCAGGTTTTGCGCGGCCAACCCCTTCGCAATAGTGGAACGTAGTACCTTGTGCTCGGATTCAATGGCCAATACCGAACTCTCCAACCTAGGATGTATTGCTCCTTCCGAGACGCACGCACTCTTCAATTTCAATCTAATTAATGAATGTATATGCTTGTACTCAACTCAACAACATTCTGTCATGCTATGACTACGATGCGTTCCGTGGGTACGCGGATCCGGATGCCTAAAGGATTGCTCTTTACGGGTCAATACAAGAGGTATGTCTAATATAAAAACTTCGCTTTATGACGTATTAATTGGTATCTGTTTATGTTCATACATAGATACATGCATAAAATATGAAACAATGAACTCAAGATTTCCGTTTTTTCTGATGTAATAATTATGATGTAATAGTTTGTGAATGCATATAAAAATTGTGGAGAATGTGGAAATTGAACCCTTGAATTGTCCTTTTGACGTATTTATATAAAATAAAGTAAAACGTACTGGAGAATGAGAGAATTGAACTCCCGACTTCGTGCATGCTAAGCACGCACTCTACCAACTGAGTTAATTCCCAATTGATAGCCTATTCTTATTATATAATATATTTACACGCTTGCGCGTTAAGAAATAATCCACGAGTTGAACATGATCGCATTTTTTTATCGAGCAATCACACAATTGACAATTAATGTGATATTCCTATTATTCCATTTACCTTTATTATGCGCAGTATTTGGTTACGGAAGGACTAGATGTCTGCCTCCCAGACAAAGACACAATCGACGAAGGAGTGCAGGTGAGTGGGGCTTACGGGCACAGTATTACAAAAACAAAGATAACATCCAATTCCAAAACACCGATGTCAGCGGGTTTGTATGTGCAACTGCGCTATTGCTCAAATGTGTCTAAATACATTAGAGCTTACTGCATATGGTCGTTTTCACAAGGCTTCGTAGCTTAGTGTGTCTGCAACACCCTTTAGAGCGTAATTTATGTGCTTGAAAAATATGTGCTTGAATAGACGAACGCCAGCTTGTGCTATGTAAACACGACAAAATTCATTTCAGTGGCTGTGTGAGGCTCTACTTTTATATTTTAATACTCGCAATCATCAACATAGGTATACTACAGATTCTACACGCCTGAGCAAGAGGCTGAATTCGGCGTGTTGGCTTTCGAGGTGACTGTATTGTGAGCGGACTTAATAAAGTCGCATCTCTTTATCCATCCTTGTGTGCGCCTTTGCTTTTTCGTGCCAACCTTGAATCAGGCACAGCGAGCGTCACACGTCATAATACATTTTCACAGTAAAAAGAACGCTTAGCATAAAAAGCGTACAGCTTGCAGCTGATCTCCGAAATTTATCATGCCGAGCTTTGACAGTAGATCACTTTCGGTAGTTCAATATAGTCTCGGACTACGCATAATCACAACCTTTACATTCTTTTATTCAAGTCTATCAGCATATCCTTCTGCTCTACGCTACACACAGGTAAGCCTAGCACTTCGTTATCCACGAGACATTACAGTTCATGATTCTCGCGCAGTTCTGTATGCAGTTGATGTAATGTGTTGGACGTATGCCTTGTACGCGTCTGCTATGGGATCTAGGGGCTAGACCAGCTGGAAAAAAATACAATACTTGAGCACGTTGAGCTGGCACTTAAACCCCCCACAATAACTAATCAACGCATTTCGAGAGCTCTGATTCCACTTCATTATTCGATTTGCGATCTGCACATTTACTATTTGTTTTGTGAATTGCACATCCCACCGCAGTGCAAATATGTCAAGATGCGGAATTTGAAGTGTTACTCTATCGTACCTGACAGCAAGTCACTGGTGTTTCACGTCAGTACAAAGACAAAAAAATTAACGGTATAACACCTGAAAGTCCTCGAAGTAATACGCATAGCATGACCCACCAACAGTCACGGCCACCTGGTTTCCGTCTTAATTTTTATTTGTTGCTTGATCATATCTTCCTCAAAACGAGCACTTCCACTGTATTCATTTTCGATGCAATGCATCGAAAATGAATAGCCAAATAGATTGCATCCTTGCAAATGTGATATTTTGGTCTTACAAGATCGAAATCTGCTTGTAACTACGGAATCGTGGTCAACAACAACTAGAAAATATTACAAATTTGTTGATGAAGTATATCTTCCCTTGGTATTTTGAATTTAATTTGAATTTGCCTTGGCTGCAGAAAACGATCTCTCGGAGTATAGTCATTTATTTGGATATCTCGAAGAATTTAATACTCTACAGGAGGAAAGTGTTTTTTTTATTGTTGTGGACTCTCTATCCTGTTGTCCATTTGGCCAACGGCCTTCGTATCCCTCTCTGAGGAGTCGATACGTGACTTGAGAGCATCTGTAAACGAAATATTAAGTTTGATGAATACAAATTCAGGTTAAAATAAAAATAATCAAAAAGCGAACGATTTAGATGAACATTAGAAATAAAGCAAATTCGTACCGTTTTTCGCGACTATCTCCAGCCACTGTTTACAGTTCTGTTTGATGCTGTCAGGAATTGCCTCATCGCTCTTACTTAGGTTCACAACGCTACGCGAGCACTGTTCAAGGTAGGCAACATCCACCAATGAATTTCCTGCAGAGTAAAACAAAGCCACGGTCAGTAACGGCCATTCCATAGGCCGATGTGACATTCGCGTAGACAACAATACTAGCGACATAAGATAGTGGAATAGCAGTTTAGGCCGAGCGGATCACTAACCCATTATTGCACCGACGAGGCAGAGTGCCATCAGTCCATCATTCTGCAATATCATATGCTTCGATGTGAGTAGCTTGTTTAGTCCCTTGAGGCCTCCCATCTCGCAGATAGTTTGTATGTATTCTGCAGCCGCAACGATTGTATATAGTTTGTCAGAAATAAATCGTATAGAGGCCAAGAAAGACGAACTGGATGCAGTCAGGAGTTCAAGGTGCAATTCTCATCTTCTATTGGTCGATAAAAGTATATACACGCGAAACTCAGGCTATTTTTGAGATCACAAATTGGTTTGTCGCTATTTGCACCCTCCCTCAGTTTCTCGACGGAACACGGGACAGAGGCTTACCTTTCTTCGGGCTATATTTGATTATATTCGCTATCACTCTGGCGGCCTCGGAAGAGGTGCCCTCGTCATCACTTCCCACCAGCTGCATGGCCATCCCCAAAATGCGTTCGTCATCGGCCATTAGACTACCGACTTCCTCTGTAGGGTAAACATGAATTTAGACAGTGACCGCTGACGATCAAGAACTCCCTCGTAGATCAAACAATACTACCAAGTATAATTTAGTGTTACATCCAAACAGACCTGAGATCATGACAGGTGACACGCAGCAGCTTTCTCGAAGTTTAAAAGGTACACCTAGGTTTCTAACAGGAAGATTTCCATGAACAAATTGTGATCATGAAAGACCACTCATAAATACAAATCTCGAAACCCAAACACAATCATTGGGTGATCAAAAGAAAGTTACAATATTATGACTTACTATCTCGCGACGCCAACGTTCGAAGAATTGATACCAAAAGAAACCGAACTGGCATGTGAAACGACTCAGCCCACTTTGGTAACTTGTCGAGCAATCCCGCATCGATGAGCGCCATTCGGGTCTCCTCTAGTAGACAATCGCAGGAATTGTGAGCAGAAGTTAGATACTTGAACAAATTACTTCAGCAACTTGATGTAATAAACAAGCGTATAAGAACGAGTAAGCTCAATAAGACATACTTGCTATGACCAAATTTCGCAGAGCTCCAAAGATGGCGTGTATTTCCCTTGCATCCTCACTGTCCAGCATGGATATTAATTGCAAGCTGACACCGGCGTCCATCAACTGTTGGCAGGCCGATTCTGCAGATAAACGAGGCTGGAAGATGAGAGCACTGAATACTGTAAGGCGTTGCGCAATAAAATAAAATTATACTAGACGCTTGTACAGTCACCAACAACCAAATCCAGATGAAAATCTAAAAAATCGACTTGCACTATTACACACAAGTATCGGACGGCGTCGCATTTGGGATTTTGATTGATACCTGAGCGGGCGAGATTGCCGAAGGCAAAAGCTGCATTAGCCCTCTTGGTTGTATCAGTCGATTTACACCACTCCAGCAGTCTATCGATGACGTGCAGTGATGAGTCATCGAGTGCGAGTTGCATGTACTTATCTGCAAAGCGAAGGTTATGCGAGTAAGAATCAGTATTGGTTCGATACTCTGACACAGCAATGGGTCATAACATGATAACGGACAGTAGAGACAAGAATAACAGCTAACATCCCAATGCCGCTGCTATAAACTATATTTCAACACGCTCCATGCACTTATCGACCGAACAACGAAAACACACCGTCAGTAAATATGATGGCAAGAACCCTGGAGGCAACATCGCCCACCGGATCGGAGAGCTGCGACGCTAAAGCGATGAGCTTGGACAATCCCAAGGTCTCGACAAATTTTTGCCTCATCGCCTCTACAAAAAAAAACATATCATTTAGGACCTTGTGTATTTCGGTTTGTCTAATGATATTGTAGCGGTCATTCGCATCTATCAGACCTAATTGCTCAGTAGCTCAAATGCGTACCGTTGTCGGATACGAGGCTTTCTATGAGCTCAGTCGGCCTTTCTTCGAATTCTTTATCGGTTGTGAACACTAATGCGTCAAACAGCTTCATTGGATAGTCCCCTGCACAAAGTGCCAACTTGCCTTCATCTGTTTTATGAAAATACACATTCCGAGACAACTGTTAACATTGCACAGTTAGAGACGAGAGTATGGTCTCAGTATGGTCTCTATCTTACAAAGTTGAAAAACAGATCAAATTTACACGAAGCAGGGCGAGATCCAGCAATTTCGTAATTATTGTATATGAGAGAGGACCCAATTGATAGCATCATTTGCAACATATATCAGGCCAGAATAATACTGGTTTAAAATTACTAGCGCATTGTAATGTAGCTGCAGCTCACCTTGTTCCGTGAGTGCTTCCAATGCGCTGAGTGCGCTCATACGAACGCTATCGGACACAAACTTGCCACTGTATATGGAAAGGACATGAGGTAGTGCACCGGCCGCTAGAAGCTCCTGCGCCATGAGCTCTGTTGACAACAAGCAAATATAAGAGTTAAAGATGGTACAATAATGACACACTGTGCAGCTGTCAAGTCAGATCTGATTGACACACAATGGAAGTAGAATAGCAGTGAGACGCATCAACCATCAAGCCAAACCAGCGCTAAACATTCCAAGATTTGCATTTTGCCAGGGTAGTAAAAACCAAAGATGGGCAATAGACACGATGACTATAGTACCATTCTCGTTGCAGAGATTGATGACTGTGCCGACACAGATGGCGGTCTTTACGCTGAGCTGAGGGGCATCCTCAACTTCAATAGATTTCAGATCCGTCACCTGACTCGCAGTAACACCAACAAAATCGACAATGCTTTTTATACTCTCGTCGACATTCGCAACAGCCTGACGATGTTCATCTGCGTAGATAGTGAAATCAGTTTAAAACAACAGTGACCTACCATGGGAGATGTTAACAATTCGAATTGCAATCTGGCTCAAGATCTCACCAACATTAATGAATTTTGAGAACAGTGAACAGCATACCATTATCAATGCAGATGTTGGCAAGAGCTCTCAGCGCTTGTATTGGTAAATCATCTGTTCTTTTGCACTCACGAATGACGTCAACAAGCTGGGGTAGACATCCGCCATCAACCAATACCGCTCTGTTGGCCTCTGTAGTGTATGGGTTTCGAATCGAATATTACCATTCAGCTGAGAGAGCAAACAAGAATCTTTACAGCGATATCAGGCACCGACCGCCTTATGTCTGTGATGGTTCGGCCACTGAGGCTCAAACCCCAGATTTATAGATTCAAAAGCAATGCAGCCATCGCCGAATTCACCAAAAACGAAAGAAAGTTCTTTGGAACTGGATACAAACGCATCGAAACGAGTACTCAAGGCTCACAATCGAATTCAGAATTTGCAAGCCAACAATTTCTCTTGAACTAAAATACTGTCGCAATGGAACCCGCTGAGGTTGTACCTTCCCTGGAAAGCACAGCGAGTACTTTCAAACAACTCAGGGAAACGTCATCGATATTCACATATTTCGCTCCATCCTTCACGTCCGCTTGCAGATACTCGACACATGAGCGAGCAAGTGCTGAAACTTGACTTTTTGTGAGCTCTGGATTCTTGTCTGTTTGAGTAGTAGCAAAAGGGCACGATGATCAGAGATATGGCAGAATTTCGCCTGGTTTATGTAGATTTAGAGCATGTACAAACGCTACTGTAATTGATAATAAGATATGACCCACAAAACGTAATCGTTGGGTGGAGACCTGGTAAAACCAGCGGGTAAAGGACAATCGAGAAATTCCAATATAGGCATATGTGCACGTAAACATGTGGTGCCCATGTATGAAATCAAACTGCAAAATATGGCGGGGCACAGATATAAATGCTGCACTATACACTTCTCCATCAATATGTAAACAAGCGAGTTATACACGCTACACACAATACCAGTATCCAAGCTTCACACGCATAATTGATTGAATCCACGTTATGATCCAAATGCATCGACACATATGATACACATTAACATGTATAAACCCAAATTAGATTAATATTTACATCTATACCCCTTTCCTCATGTATACAAAAGATACACACACGGAAAGATACAGACACAGAAAGGCCGAATATATATAAATATATATATATATATAATATATATATTTATATAAG